CCCCCCCCCCCCCCATCCAGGCGATGAATAACAACTGTTCTCTTCTCTCAACCTTTTCAGGTGCCCGCACGTGGAGCACGGTTCGTCCACGTGGAGACATATCCCCACCCGTCCGTAGCTGTTTCTCAGTAGGAGTAGTTTCTTCGTCCGCTTTTTTTTCCATTCGACCGTCCACGGCTCACTCTGCCCCACCTTGCACCCCCATGCCTTCAGGCTTCTTGGGAGATGAGAGGCTCAACAGCAGGCCGTCCACCACTAGGCCGGAATCGTGGTGTGAATCAGTTGCTCGGTGGGACAAGTCTTCAGCATCACTGGGTTCTCTTGACTCCACGGTGCCGTTTCATAGTTCTGGGTTAAGTGTTAGCGACAATAAACGCAGTCAAGCTCGACCGGCGTCCATGTTTAGTTCAGAGGTGTACGAGAATTCAAGAGGAATGACTCTTTCAGATGATTCTCTTCATCCACATCCGAATCAAACTACTGCACAAAACGATCGTCCTGTTAAAGCACACACTCTTCCAGCACATAGTGTCACCTCGGTTAAAAAAAGCCGGGTGTACAGTCAAGAACTTTTGAACGTCAATTCTCCTGTTAGCGCCGATGTAAGGAGAAATTTAAGCCATCCATTCGCCTGTTTATTGGTTCTTGGCGGCAAGACGCGCACACAGGCGGATTTGGGAAAAAGCATCGACATATGGCGGTGTGATATCGATCCAGGTATGGATTTCTTTGGGTAAATTTAATATTTGTATCGTTCAAAGCATAGATTTTAGATTTTCCCAGTTAAAGTTATCGACAAGATTTGATCAGAGCGTATTGCAACACGGTACGGGTTTCGCATGTTCCGTAGTTTTGGCCAGCACTTAATAAGTTACAAAACGTATTGGAAAGTTTGAAGTTTCTATTTAACGCAAGTCTTTAAATCGCAATTTTTTACTACATGGCCAAACTTAAGCGCACAAAAAAAATTTAAGGTTAGCTTAAAACTTTACTTGGCAACCACCGCGGCCAACATATCAGCGGGCTCAACACCCAAGGGTTGTGGAACCAAGTGTTTCAAAATTTGAAATTAGGAGCTAACCCACCCCCCATCCCTGAGTAGATTTTAGCTGAGCACTAGATGTCACGTTCATACATGTCTTAGAACGTTCTCGTGCATAATTTGAAATTCAAATTCTAACTGCCTGAGATTTGCGATTAAAATTTGAGAAAATTAAATAAATAAGTAGAACTCCCACTTTCAACTAATAACGGTTACTTTAACTTTCAGAGAAGAGACACCCAACAGAGCGAGTGGAAAAGATCGTTGTGTCTGGCAACAATCACATGACTACGCCCACTGTTCGCTACTTTCAGTTGGAGCATTACGATGACATGGACACTGAATCAGTGGGAGGCGATCTGGTCTTAGCAGACTTGTCTGATAGCGATACGCGTAGTGTTGATTTCCTACTGGACGATTTCCGCTTGGACGCACCACATGGTGTCCCAAAAGTGTCCGTGTGAATCTTTACCCTCGTCTTTCCCTCGAAGATTGTGAAAGGGAGAGGTTAGATCCTCGCCCCAGCCCAACACGAGGATGGGAAAAAGAGTGAGATCTGGTGCCGAGAATGTGCTTCAAAAATGCCGCTTTATCTGCATTTAACAATGGCTGCTTGGACTTTAAAAAAGGCTATGTCGTAAGCTTTGAAAAATCCCATACGTTCTTGTTATGTGTTGAGAACTTGTTGGTACTAAGCTGTGTTTCCAAGAATATATAACTTTCTTCAGTGATTTATTGCTGTTTAATCTATTAAGGGTCGGTCCCAGTTTGATTGTTTCTGGAAGTGGGAACCGGCAACGAGCACCAAAAAAAACTTCTCTTTTCTTTTTGGTAGTGAAAACCTTTTATATGGAATCGTTTGTCGGCTGGTTTCCGACTGTCTTGTTTCGTTGGCCCGCAGCTGAAGAGGCCTGAAATGCTGGTGCATTATAAAATTACAATATGAAGTATTTTAAAGATTATTGAATTGTCAATATTGAATGTAATGATTGAATTCGAAGCCAGCCATATAAGAATATCTAAAATCGTATTTTAAAATGTTAAAAATTCATGTATCTAACAGAAGTTATAATTTTCATTGTATTAGTAGAAAACGAAAGCAATGCTTGCTAATCATACAAAGATGTTGAAGTTTTGTGCAAATTGTTGATAACCATTCTATTACATAAAGCGACCATGAGCATTCCTTTGTTCGTCTTTCTTCGTTATTTTTACTTGGTCAAGTTACCCAGGCATCCATCTTCAATTTTTGGAAGAGCGAGCTTTGAAAACTGGGACAAGTTCATTAAGTCGAAGTTTATTGGTCAAACAAAACAAAGCTAATCTCAACGGCCAATCAGAGTGAAAGTTGACATCGTCACTAGCCAATGAGAACTCGAAGTAAAGAAGGTGATCTGCTCAAAATGCGGGAAAGCGCGAGTGACCAAATCCCAGCAGGTTAGCGTTTTATATTTAGATCTAACTCAATGAGAAAAGTGGAAAAATGGCGCGAGTTTTCAAACCTAACCAGATCAAACATGGTTACTGCAGGTCAGGGAACAGTCAGGTTACAGTAAATTTATTCAAGGTCACGGAGAAGCTAGGGAATTTAAAATCAATGTGAAATCATTCATGATGTTTCGGTCTTCTTCATGATGAAAGATAGTGACACCTCTTCCTTTTGTAGTGCAAGCTAAAGTTGGTTTGTGAATGAAGTCGAACATTTTGTTTTTTTCTCCCATTTCCAATGTTTTCTAAAATTGTGAATTCCTTCACGGTCATACTTGTGGCAACCGTGACAAAATTAAGCAAAACTAGAGCAATTCAATTTACTTTCGACACTCAATTACAAATTGCTTTGAATATGACGGAAACCCGACGGGAAATGTAAGTTCGCGCTGATATATTATGCTAAATTTGAATACTGGCGCCGCTGAGGTCGTGAACACATCCGGTCATTCGCGAAATTTTAAAGAAAAATAGATTTATCTTAAATTCGACGTTTCCTTCGGCAAAGCCGTCCTGAAGTGTTAAGATCCCTCATAACCAGACAGCGATTTTAAACAAGAACGTGGTAAATCAACAAACTTGATTGGCAGAACAATAGCTCAGCAAGTGCGCTTTAAAACTTTGTACACTTCCATGCTGTCCTCTACACAACATCGACGTCAAATTATTAAAATTTGCGTTGTCAGAGTACGGGAACCTCGACTGTGAATTAATTGCGAATTAATTTTTCGAACTTAAGAAATTCACATTTGTTAAGCTGAAGTCCGAGATGTAGCTCCGTTCGACACAACCATTTGCGAATTTCTTCAAAAATAGACGAAGTCATTCTTTAATTTGGCGTTTTCCACGGCGTTGCCTTGTCTTCTAATTCTTCAGTCCCAAGATCTCCTTGACAATTCTCCTTACTGTCTGCCATACAATTCTTATGATATATTTTGGAAAATTTGGTATTGGATCAACTAATTATTCCCCTAACTGATAGTTTTTCTTCATGGCCCCCAACTCGTCTGCTCGATATTGTATTGATGTTGTATGGAGAAATGCTTTATTGGTACGTTTTTCAAATGAAACGAAACAACAGACGAACCTTCAACTGTGTGACAAATATTATTTTAATGGATGAGACAACGATTTGTGTTCAGTTCCATTATTTTTTCTTTCATGTCAAGTTTTCTATTTGTCTTCAGTATTAATCCCAAAAACCGACGAACTTTTAAAAGCGTCCAATTCAATTTTTCGTTAAAAACCGTAAAGGTAATAACTAGGATTGGGTTAACCCTTTCCAACCTAAAATCAAAATGCATATTCTTCGTACTGTTCTCCAAAATTTCCTAAGATGCTAACGAGGAGAATTTGCCGGTTTAACATTCACAAGCTTCTTTCATTGGTGATCGTTTCCTGTATTCTCGTTACCTTAGTCTTTGATTCAGGGGCGATAATGTAAGGAGAACTTAGATGCTCGTCACTCTTAAGGGTCCAGAAGTCAGACAATTCAAATCAATCAGAGCAGTTCAAAGTCACATAAAAGTCTTCACTTAGTTTTCCCGTGAAACTAAAAGGCCCTCTTTCTTAATTTACAACGGTCGGTAAGAATTGGTTTTACGTTTGATCATGACATGTCATTTGTTTTCCTGTATGTTACATGTGATACACGAGTAAGTCTTGCAGATGATTTTTCTTTATTGAGTGTGCTGGTACAGTTTTAGACACTCCTCACTCCAAGACCGAGGGGTTAATTGATCCAGGAGCGATTTCTGAAAAGAGGAAAATTTAAAAAGTCAAGAATGTTAAAGTGATCACGCCCTTCGAAGCTGCCAGGGTCAGATAAATGCTACTGGTATAAATTAAGACAAAGACTTGTCCCAGGAGCCCATTATTCATATTGGGGTCCTGTCGCTCCCTAAATAAAGTGGCCCATAAGGAACATTAGATTTTCCTATCGCAAGTTACTAACTTTGATAACGTAACTTGCGACCAAAAGCTATATGTTACGATCGCAAATTATCGCGATTTACATCCCATATGGTAATCCATGTAGTAAAAGTGGTTTATTCAAAGCGATTTTAGTGAAAACAAGAAAAACATGCACCCCTCTTGTGATTTTCAGACCATTTTCCCTATTGTGTGGCGCGCATTCCGTCAATTCAGTTTCAAATTTACTTAAAAAGTCTCGGGTATGTCGTGGCATTCTGCGCGATGATATCGCAAGTTAATAACCTCGCCGGAGTGTCCGTCATAAGCCACCGTATAAAGAAAAAGACAAAAAAAACAATTTTAAGTTCAGTAACTTTTGGCTACTTACACTCGTACTGGGGCAGTTCCGGTGGGCAAACCATTCCTGACTGTACAAGCACATCAACAGCCCATTGCCGATGATCAATGTGATCCACATAAACACGTTCCAAGCCTGAGATATGTTCTCGACGTGTTTCTTTGGTTTCAAGAACACAAACGACACTGAAATTGAAAGGCGGATGGGAAAACGATATTATTAACTAACTACCCATCCTGCTCATCCAGGAAGCCTGATTAAAGACGCTTAAACCTAAATCTAACGTGTGACCTGATATTTTAGCGTTATCAACTGAGTTGATAAACTACATGGGCCACTGTGAAGAGTTTCAAAGCTGACGTTTCGAGCGTTAGTCCTTCGTCTGAGTGGAACCGGACGAAGGGCTAATGCTCGAAACGTCAGCTTAAAAAACTCATTACGATGTCTACTTTACATTATCAACTTAGTCGTTACAATCAAATTATCTATTTATACCATCCAACGACGTAGCACCACAGTTTCTTCATAAACTTATCCCCTTAATTCCAATCTATGACTTGGCGCGCAAGTAGACGTCAAGTAGTTTGTCAAGTTTCAGGGAGACACTGTGAGAGTGGTGACCCAGCCTAAAAGGAGAACCTAACGCACCCCCCCCC